ACTGAGCTAAATCCTCAGTCCTGTCCAAAGATTTGTGCTTTTTGCTTTGGATTGCTTTTTTTTTTTTTTTTGGTACCAGGGATCGAACTCGGGTCCTTGTACTTTCGAGGGAGGTGGCAGAACCACTGAGCTAAATCCCTGGCCCTACTTCTATAATCTTCATTGCAATCATCCACTATGTATGGCAGGTTCTATCAGGAATCCATCTTTATTTTTCCAAAGATTTTTTTTTTTTGGTACCGGAGATCGAACTCGGGTCCTTGCGCTTGCGCAGCAGGCAGCAAAACCACTGAGCTAAATCCCCGGCCCCATCCAAAGATTTTATATTTGCACGATGGGGTATCTTTTTCAATGTCAAGAACTTCATACCAGCTGCTTTCTAATGGAAAGATGGAAAATAACATACTGTAGAAAAGCACAGACACAAATTTTTAACATACATAAGAATTTTCTTGATGATTTCCAATCAATTGTATCATGTATAAATATAAGTATTATAACAATTATAAGTATACAGAATAATTATAAATATATAGAAGATAATTCTATTCAAATTGAAAAATAACCACCTCACCTAGGACCTGAGATGCATTAATTACCTTTAGCGATTTTCTGGGCTGTCTCCAGGATGGTAATTGCAGCAGGATAAGCTCGTCCACTTACCGCTGACATAAATGGGGTCATCCCTCTAGCATCCCTAAAATGAGAAAAATATCATTTTCCTTTTTGACTGTGAAATTAGTGTTCTTGATAAAAACAATGCTGTGTTTTGGTACCAGAAAGACTATTCTGTGATCTTTTTTTTGGTACCAGGGATTGAACTCGGGTCCTTGCGCTTGTAAGGCAGGCAGCAGAACCACTGAGCTAAATTCCAGGCCCCTCTGTGATCTTTTTGATACAGGAATATATACTCTGACCAAGCTAACATTAAAGGTCAGCTTCTAAACCTCCTGTGGTGGCGCACACCTGTAATCCCTGCACTCTGGGAGGCTGAGACAGGATTGCAAGTTCAAGGCTGGCCTGGGCAACTTAGTGAGACCTTGTCTCAAAACAAACAATCAAACAAGCAAGCAAATGGGGGAGAGGGAGCCCTGGGGACTGGGGACAGAGCTCAGTGTGAATGGTCTTATTCAATACCCAGCATCTCAAAACAAAAAAGATGTGGGTTTGTATTCCTTTAGGGAATGCTATATGTCTGAGAGAGGAGGACAGCTTAGTAGCAGAGGGAATGCAATGCTGGTTGTGATAAAATACTTTGTCTTTACATAAGGTAATCATCCATATTTTGTAAGAAGATCCACTTAAACAGGGCTGCTAAGCTAAGCTTCATATGAAAAGTTTATTAAATCTTACTTTGCAGAAAGGAGTTCTCGTAGATAGGGTTGCAGAACCACACTGTCACATAACAATTTTAATATAAAATGGGCATTCGCCTTTCGATCCTTGGATTCTACTACCGAAGGCTCTGTGGAAGGACCTGTAATTAAATAGATTCATTTGATACCTAAACAAGCTAGAGTGAAAGTATGTCCCAACATAATAGAACATAACATTAAATAAACCAGTAGAACCATATTCTAGTATTAGAAATAAACTGACTCCATTAACATATTACATACTTAACAAATCTCAATTGCTTTCTTAATGCACCATATATTTTCACTGACACACATGATATACAGAAGACAGAGAATTAGATGCTTTACAAGCAAAGAAAAGCTTCCTTGAGATAAAAGTGTGAATGTGTGGAAACCTGCACCTCAAGTCTGTCCTTTTTCTTCCCACCGACCCAGGAGAAGAGAGCAGACTCTTACCTGGAATGGTGGAGGTGCTCGGTCCTTGGCCGCTGCCAGTCGCTGCTGTGGTAAGAGATCCCACAGCGGGGGCCAGGATAAAATCAATGTCACCATCTTTCAGCAAACAGAACAGCAGGATGCACATCATTATAGGCAATGCGTCCCTGCTGTGCTCTCCTAACAGGCCTTAAGGCTTTCTCTGCAAGCCACAGCTCAATAGGGACAGAGGTTTAAGTGGAAACTCGCTTTCCCAATTGTAAGAGAAGGAATCCACTAGGCAAATTACGCATTTGCCTTGATACTACCAACGAGGACTATCTAGCTTCTTACTAGTATAGAAAAAAATACTTTCTATTAGAGTGGCACCTGACAAGAGTTCTTACAGTTCCAATTTTTAAAATACAAACCTCCTAAATCAAGTTTTTAATAACCAAGATAATATTCATCATGCTGCTTTCAAATATTTCCAGTTTCTAAATATCCCACTAAAATATTCACTTCCTTTTCTCTCAGGCTTGCTTTTTTGTTAAGTACAAAACAGAATCTGAGATCTTACCAGGATCCATTGCAGGGGGGTCAGGAACCCAGCTAGGGGGTGCGATTGGGGGTGAGACTGGGTCCTGGTGGTCACTGGACGAAGCGCCAGCCTCGTGTCTCCCCAAGCCGGCGGCCCTCAAGGAGCGCCTCATCATCTCCCGCAACCTCAAGCTGAAGAACAAGGACAGGATCAGCACTCACTTCGTGTCGACACACAACAAAAAGGTGCACAGACCTCCTCCTCTGAGAAGATCTAAGTACGCTCTACAGGCAGCACGCCGGCAGGGAAGCCAGTACAAATGCCAGGTCTGGAAACCACAGAGCAGGCGGTGAGGGACAGAGTGAAACTAGGGGCCCTGCTCCCCAGGCCAACCCCAAACCTTCATTCAGCTCCCAGACAAACTTAAGCACAGGGAACCAAAGATACACTGAAAGAAGACTGGAATAATCTTTCCCAACAGTTAGATAAATGAACAGCTAAACATTAAAACAAAGCTTTTCTGTGCCCTGTTTATGATCAGTAAGAACTAAGTTTAATAAGAGACATCAGCAAACTACTGATTAGCACAAAACCAACACTGTTAGCCTACTAAATCCCTTTTCTGTGATCTCAAGAGCAGTTAAACTAATATCCGCACAATGAGTATTTTTTAAACAAAGATCAATTTAGATTTTTTAATACAAAAAAATTTTAACAGTACAACTTGCATCCAAAAGAAATTAATGGAATGAAATTAGAGCCTGTAAAATATGTAGTTAGATTAATGTATGGGCTGGATTTTTTTTTTCTCCTGCTATAAAAAAATCCTGTACAAGTATGCATATCACTAAAAAGAAAAGGAAATAATCACACACAGACCTTATTAGGGAACTGGTGACTATCCATACAAAAAGGCTGTAATTACCTCTGGATAAAAGCTTACAAAGGCTACAAAAGTAACGTATGTAGGACTAACAGCAATTAAGAAAGAGCACAGATGCCTTCACTTGGCGACAATTTTATTCTAAATAGATAAGAGTCAAAATCTCAACTTGAAGGGCAAGACAACACATAAGGGCCCTTATTCTCCATGCAGACTTAATCCCAAACACATGGCGTTTTTGGTATCAAAGACTTAGCATCTCACTATGTAAGCATAATACTCCTAAAGTAAGTATTTTGAAAGATTTTTTTTTTGCTAATGCATCTACTTTGTAAGTCTTATTTATGATGTACTTTTTGGAATAGAAGCACTTTTTGGAAGATCCTGCAAAATAAATTTTAATGTCTCAATATATTAGCTATTATAAATTCACTACTAAAATCCATATAGTACATTCTTTTATTGTATCAAGGTTATCCTTTTCCCAATTTAGAAATTTGAGTGTAAGAGCTTTTTCTAATACAGGAGGGAGCAGGATCCAGCGATTGATTCGGTCAGGATCACTTCCCTGACCAGAGCTGTCACCCAGAGGGAAAGGCAGGCCCCTTCCCCGACAGCACACACCAACTGAGTGTCTGCACTGTGCCGCTCAACACAGACATGTGGGACCCTAGCATGTTGCACTCAGAGCACAGAGGGAAAAAAATCAGCAGACCTTGGGAGGCACTGCCAGTGACCTGAAAATAAACACACGTCTTGGGCGTACTAAGAGTGCTACCCCAGGGTCACAGCCAGAATGCCCCTGGGGTCAGAGCGGTAAAACAGACAAGGGCGGTTGGAACTAAGAAGCAGGGAGGAGGGCCCAACTAGAGGCACCCACTTCTCCGTTCAACGCTCATCTAAAGGTATTTGAATTAGAGGAAAGAAGGCAACACGGCACAAGCCAAGCAAAACAGGAGGGCTAGTCTCTAGCCTCTAACTTAAGATACAAGCAGATAACTGAGATCACAGTCTCATCTTGAACTCGCAAACTCCCAACTCTGTTGTTGTCATGTAGTCAATTCAATATTAAATGAGGGGGTCATTCCTTGTCATTTTAAAAATTGTCCTTAACCTCTTTTTCTTCATTAGGTCTTGGGAACATTTTAAAGTACAATGCCCATTCCTCATATATTCTTAAAAAATAAAAAACAAAAAACAAAAAAAGAAAATTATTCTTCAAGATGTTGTACACAATTCATGAAGATTCACCTGGATCCCCAATGGCTGAGGGCAATACTGAGAAGATACCACCTTGGCTGCTAAGATTCAGAGTTTTGACTTTCTTCGTATTGGCTTGCCTGGAGTCATCATGTTTGCTGACAATATGGAAGAAGTCAAGGATGATGTAATTTCCTCTTTGTAAGCACGTTATATCCATGCTACAGAAGCCTTAGAATCCAGTCATGTTCAAACATAACACTGTGACAAAAAAGCGAAGGTCATGTGTCTTCCAGATTAACAATCTCTAGAGCACAAACACCTGCAATCAGATGCACCAACCACGCTTGCACTAAATCTGCCCTGGACTCAGGAGCTATTGAGTCACATAACAACGTGAGTCAAATCATCGTGTGCGGGCATTTAACAGTACTCCATTCAATAGCGACACCGGGTCCCAGCCTGCACTCATCAGGGCATCGCTAGCGATCCATGGCAGGCTGGAGGAGGGCTCGCTCCAGTGAAGCAGTCTGTGGACTTCCTACTGCCCGGCGTGGACATAAGCTTCCTGCGCTTCCAGCTGCTCAGCGGCAGCCCTGAGCTTGAACTGTTAAGAGCACTGCAGTGAAATCTTCGGCAAATGCCTCAAAGGAGCTTACTCTGCAAATTATTTCTGTGAGCAACCCATCGCCCACTCTTGAAGCTCCTTTTAGTCTTTGCCTTCAAAATAATCCTTACATGAAAAAAAGCTGGCAGCAATGGCATTGGACCAAGCATATCAGAGTCCAACTGGATTTGCACCTGTAATTTCCCTGAGGAAACGAAATACCTTAAATAATTCAGACACTAATTTCTTCATGAAGAATTTAAGTTGCTTTCCATTTTAGACCAAGCACTTTGTCTGTCTAGAGTAGTCCTAGGTAAATAAACTGGTGATAATTTCCACTTTGTGTAGTCTATACCACGTCTTTCTACTGATTCAAATTATAATTTGATCACTCACAAATAGTTTTTGATAAATTTCACTTCCAGGTGTTTTTGAACTGGGAAGCTATCAACTTGGTAGCCTTGCTGGTGCCAATTTAATAACCATTTTTTTTCCCAGGGAAAAATGAGCATGAAACAGCAAATAGGCAGTTTGAAGTAGACTTTATAACCTATCAACGTTGTCACATGTTGAGCAGTGCTTCCATTAACGTCTTGTAAGTAACCAAGAATTTTGGCTCTATCTAGAGTAAATGTGTTTTTTCCTACAAAAGAAAACTACATTCTGAATTCTTTATATGCATCACCTAGTCAAACATCTAGCAAATTTTAACATGTTAAAAGACTTGTCCATCCCACAACTCAGAAAACCTGAAAACTTAAACACAGATCATTCATAATACACGTCAGCCTTTCATTTCTTCCCAGATGATAAGATATCTGAAAAACTGACCTAAACAGGCAATCTGAAAATTAAAGATTGAGGTTCTTTCAATTTCTGCATTGTATTACTTGTTCTCCACCTAAAGAAAATAACTTATAGGGAGTAACAATGACAACTTCAGAAAACAAAGAATCAAGTGTAAACTATTTGTTTAAATCATCTCAAATACTGTCAGAGATTCTACTGTTCTACCCTTAAAATCTAATTAGTTATCAAGTATTTTTCCCAGGGTGTTACTGGGAGGAATCAAAACCAAAACAAAGAAAAGCCCACCGATTCTTGCATAGATAGGAAAGAGATACACTGCCTTCTGTACTTGGATTTTTGTTCATCCAATTAAACTTTCCTTGTAAAAATCACATTACCTTCGACTACTTGATGATCCAGCCCGATTACCTGGGCCATTGCTTGAGACAACTGATATTGCATTTGCAATGGCCTCAACAGCAGAAAGCCTTTCTGCAAATGTATTTCTTTCAGAGCGTTCTGCTTCTGAAACATGAAGGAAAAACGAGATTAATTTAAACTTTAAAAGTCACTAATATTAAGTACACACAGGTCATGAACCACAAATTGCTATGCACATATTAGTGCTAATCTACGTATCAGATAACCAATGGCTTAGTTTTTTTCTTCTTTAGCACAAACAGCACATCACAGATTGGACGATGACCTGTAACACACGACTTACTACTTCCTCTCGCCTTCTCCACCGCTCAGGTAGAAAACAAGCTCATTAACAGACCGAAGCCGGCTTTCACAACCAAGGAAAAAGAGGCGCCTCCGTCGTACTTACGCACTGCTTCTACACAGTTCTTTAGTGTAATCCAAGACACTGACATAAAGATCAGAAACTTGCAAACAATTATTCTACAATGTAGCTATCATAATATAATCAGCGGAATTCAAAATAGAGAAAAACATGGTGGTTTCACAGTTACACTTTAGGTTTCCAGTTTCTTTATCTTGCCACCTAAAAACTTCATGGCAAAAAAAATCTTTCCAAAAACATCTAACAATTCACTAAGTTAATCTGGAATGTAATTTGCCTCAGTATAATTTGCCTTAATGTATAAAATAATTCCCATGGTAATATATATAGGTCACTGTAAAATCAGTCCAGTTTGTTGAGTACTGCATTGCCAGCTTATATTATTATCACAGAGAAAGAATTAAATGCAGTAAAAACATACTGATGAACATTTATGGACTCACATTACGCACACCCATCTGAACAAGAGAACAGGCACTTTTGCTTCAGAAAAGTCAAAACTTCCAAAATCTTACAAAACAAAAGTAAAGACACACACACACAATTCTTTACAGTGATTTACTTTAACAGTCATTATATTTTTTAAATTGCCTGAGCCTCTCTAATCCTGTTGTTCTAGCTCTTGATCTTACCCTCTTCTTCTTTAGTTTCCTTATTGCTGGTTGGAAAGCAAACGGACACGCAAGCATGCAAAATATTCCGGTTCCCGTCGCAGCGGTGGCTGATGAATGTCTGCAGCACCTGCAGGTTCTGGTCTAAAACCACCGCCTGCTCAAGATTCATGAGGTACTGGCGACAGGCCTCGTAGTCACAGCGCAGGATGTGCTGCATCAGGGTTTGTTTCTGTGCTCGGACAAATTGGGGGAAACTTCAGTGAACGGGACACGGCTCAGGGCTTGCAGAAGCAAATGACTAAGTGAAGGGCCGTGTAGAGAGGAGAAACCACAGGAGGGCAACGACAAAGGCTTGAGGTATACCCAGGCTTGGAGAGGAATGGAGTCCTGCTCCTCGCCTCCCGCTTCTCCTGTTTCATCCCCACTGCATGCTGACCAGGCGGGCCCCAGCCTAGTAGGTAGTAGGGTGCTCAGCGCTCCCCTCTCACTTGCACCTGTACCTGGCAGTGCCCGCCACACCCTGGTGGTGCCTGCTGTCCTCACGGCTGCTCCCTTCTGGTCCCTGTCTTATGCTGGCTGCCCTTCACCACCCTGGTGTTTAAATGCTGGGATTAATCTCATGGCCCCGTCCTGGGACCCTTTCTCTTCTCCATGACCCTAGCGGTCTCACTCAGCACAGTCCCTCTGAATAATAGTTCCATGCTTGGGTGTCTCCAGTATGGTCCTCTGTCTCTGTCTCCCCTTTCACACATCCTTCTGCTTGATAGCTCTTCCTGGCTATTGGCTGTCCTCAGTTTCAAAAGTCTAAAACCAAACACCTCCGCCACCCTCCAGCTCCAGAACTCTCTGCGCCTCTACAGGCTCCATCTTGGTCAACGGCAGCCTCATTCTTCCAAAACCTCCCCACCCCCTGCTGTGACCCTACATGTGGCAAGCAGCAAATTTCCCCAATTTTACTTATAAATCTATCTAGTACACCTGGAGTCGAGTGACTTTTCACTCATGCGCTGGGCCTAAGCTGAGGCACGGGGACTGTTTTGGTGGCCTCCGAACCCATCTCCCTCATCTGACTCTGTCCAGCAGTAGTCTCGGCACACACAATGGTCCTTTCAAAGTCTAAGTCAGTGATGGCGAACCTTTCAGAACTTTCAATGCTAACAAATAGCTGGCTGTGGCACTCATACCACAGGTTCACCACCACTGTTCTAAGTCAATCTCAGCGGCAACAGCACCAACAGCTTCTAGTGATGTTGCTGCCACATCCACATCACTTACCTCATGTATTTCTATCTCACCACGCCCAGATCAGAGGCTGCACAATGCCGTCTTCACTTATACTGATCTCCATTTACAAAGCTTTATATTCCCACTTCCTTAGGGTCTCAAACTATCTGCCCTTCCTCATTTCCAAGAGTTCAAGTTCACTTAGTTTCTAACCTGGATTACTGTAATTAGCCTTTTATGTGATCTCTAAACTTCCGTTCTCCACCAACTCCTCCCTTAAGGTCCACCCTCCACTACTAATCTTTCTTAAAAACTTGATCTATCACTTACCAGCTTAAAATCCTTCTCCTCCTAGCAGTCAGGGAAAGCTGTGGGCCCCTTAGTTGAGCACAAGAACCCCTCTAGTGCTTCTCTCCAGCCTTCTCAGCTGCCACTGTCTGACACTGTGATCCCCACCCTCTGGCCACTCGATGCCAACATCTCAGGGAGGGTCCCAGGGGCTGCAGCTGAAGCCTTGGGACACGTCCTGCCTGCAGCCTTACCTAAGCATCCCAAGGCCCACCCAGGCAGTGTGCCTCAAAGAAGCCTTCCAGAAAGTCCCGCCTGAGTTACACCCTCTGCTTTGTTTCCCCAAGGCTGTGCCTCTCTCAGATCAGTCACCCTGCAATCACCCACTCCCGCATCTCTGTTGTGCTTGAAGACTAGGCCATGGTGGGAAGGCGAGCTTCTCAAGGTTATTCCCTAGACTCTAGCAGGGCCTTCTGAATCAAAACACCCAGGCATTTCCAAGATAAATTACCTCTACAGCCATGATGATAATAGCAGCTTTCTTTTTGATTGTTGAATTAGCAGGAAGGTTTACTAAAGAATGCACACCCATCCCAAGACTGCTAATGGGTGGGAGATCTAGCCAGTCAGGATCCCTTATTCCTCCCATGCAGTCCTTGGCCATTGGGTAGATGGTACCATTTCCATCTCGGAGAATGATAGGGGATTCCTGGAAGACAGGGAAGAAACTTTGGCTCCCAATCACAAATAGGTATATTTATTTTCTAACTAGATGTTACTGATAACAGTCAAATTAAAAAAACCCCACAGTGGGGCCAGGCATTTAGCTCAGTGGTTCCGCCACCTGCCTCACAAGCTCGAGGTACCAAGTTCAATTCCTGGTACCAAAAAAAAAAAACCCACAGTGGAATGTGCTGAATGCTCTAAATTCTTCAATATTTTACTAGTTCAAGGAAACCAGACAAAAGCCCCAAGCTTTGCAAACTGCCAGTACTCCCGGACCACGTTTGAAATTGAGACTGGGCCTCTTACCTGCCCAGCAGTGAAAATGGCCACGTTCCTCTCATCCTGACCAAGGAAAGCAATGCTGCTGGTAGGAAAATTATTTTCCTGTTCAGCTTTTCCTGTCGCAAGATCAAAGATACAGTAGCGCACCCAGTTTCCAGTCTTCAAAACAGCATGTACACCTTTCAGAGCAGGCAAATGAAAAGAGAAACTGTTACACACGTTCAGGGCCATACTGGAGAATCAACGTGGACACACCTCCTCCCAACATGCCACAGGCAGCTGACAGCACTCCTACATCCCAAAGCACATGACACCAGGGTGCTGACTCAAAGACTCAGAAAATCTTTACCTTTAGAATCTACATTTACTGCTAATATTTCTGTTTTTTCGGGGATACAAAGCTTTTTAGGTGTCCTCTGAAAACAGTCTGGAACTTTCGGGGTTCCACCAGTTTTGACAACCTGTACAACACAAAGAGAATTTTGTGCTCAAACCCTGCAAACACCCACGGAGTTGCCCAGCATTACCTGCGGCTGATCCTGTCCGCTTACCTGCAGCTCGTCGATTCTCAACAGCCTGCAGTCCTGCAGGAGCGAAGACGGGTCCGCGTCAGGGCCAGAGCTGCTCTGACAGCTGGACGTTCCTGGGAACTTAACCGCGACATAGGCCCCATCCACTTTTAGCACCTGGAGCACAGGCAGGAATGCTGAGTGTCAACACAGTCACAGAGATTCATTCACAGCCTATACTCACCAAGCTAATTCAGTACGAAAGGTACTGCATTCCTCTGGATATATTTCTTCGATGATCATCAACTGATAAAACTAACTTAAGGACTGGGGATGTAGCTCAGTGGTGCCATGCCTGCTTGGCAGGCACAGGGTCCTGAGTTTGATCTCTGGTACCACAAAAAAAAACTAACTTAAACAGACGCATAAAGCTTTGCTGGTGATGTCTATACCCAAGGCTCAAAAAACTGACCCGTACAGAGAGTGATGACAGCCTGTGAATGTCTGACAATTAACTGAGGAAAAGGAAGCATAATCCATGAAATCACCTCATCTTTCCTCTCTGTTAGTTTATTTTTTATTTTTTGGTTTTTTTGAGACCAGGTCTCACTATGCAGTCCAGGGTGGCCTCAAACTCGAGGTGATCCTCCTGCCTCAGCCACCCGAGTGCTGGGATGACAGGTGTGCACCACCACGCCATCGACTCTCTGTTTAAAGCAGCACTACCTGACAGAACTTTCTTAAAGATGTTAATGCTCTCCCTCAGCACTGTCCAGCAGTCCTGTGCAGCTACTGAGCACTTGAGGTGGAGTTAATGAGCTTTTCAATGTTATTTAGTTTATTTATTTATTTTTAATTTTTTTTTTTTTTGGTACCAGGGATTGAACTCAGGTCTTTACGCTTGCGCAGCACAAGGCGAAACCACTGAGTTAAATCCCCGGCCCAGTGTTATTTAGTTTAAATGTAAACAGACACCACAATGCGCAGGTAACCTGGTGATCAGCCCAGGGACAGGAGAGGCAATGGGGAAAGACAGGCACAGGACTTAAACCTGCCAGTCAAACCTGTACTGTCAACCAGAGTGAACGCCTCCAAAGAAACCACTGCTTATAAACTACAGTGACAAAGACCCTCACAGGAAACGGCAGGGCACAGGTCTGGTTCTTTAGGAAGGCTCACAAAAGGGCAGGCTCTCTGGGCAACTAGAGAACAGTCAGGACACTCACTCTACAGCGGCCAGTGTCAGGAGAGGGGTGAAACTCCAGATGTGGCCTTTGTTTACCTGACTTCTTCAAAAGGAAACCCTCTCAGTAGGATAAGAGGAAGTGGAAGGCAACTCAGGGAGAACAGGAAGATTTTCCAGTTGTAAGGAAGAATGTTTAATGTCACCAATCATTTCCATTCTCACTATCTAGTAGCTCCAAAGAATGAACTGCATCAAAAAGAAATGTATCTGTGCACCTTTTCTGTAAATCTAAAATCACTCCAAAAATTACTTAAAGGGAAAAGCAGCCCATCACCTGAGTGCTTGCAACATCTCCTCAGGAGGAGAGAGCTGCCAGAAGGGCTCCCAGACACTGGCCACACTGAAGCTCCTGGGGGAACCCAGGCACACCAGCTCCCTCAGGAACTGCTCCCCAGGCAGCCAACAAACCTTGCCGACGGGAACATTCTTAACGTCTTCTACAAACACCACTTCCCGAAGAGACCACTGCTCTTCATTCACCTTTTCCTCTTCCTTCGGGGCAGGGGTTGACCGACGTCGTTCTTAGACAAGAACAAAATGGTAAGTATCAAAAAGAAAATGTAAAAGAGACTTTATAGATTGCATCTAAATACATGAAAAATGATCATTTCTAAAGGGATACATAGTTGAAGTCTCTAAAGGAAAGCTTCAAGGGTTATTCCTTTTTGAGCAGAGGCTTTATGACCAACTTGTACTTCAAAATAAATTCACAGTAAAGAACTATAAATAGTTCTATAAATATAATGCCAAACTACACTGGCACTACTACAAACAAGTGTGAAGAGCCCAAAAAGTACATTTTGGACCTTCAAAATTAGGGTTCCCTTATCAACATTTTAAAAGGAAGGCCTAAAGACCAGGGATTCAGCTCAGGGGTTCAGCCGCCTGTCTCTCAGACCCAAGATCCTGAGTTCGATCCCTGGTACAAAAAAAAAAAAAGGAAGGCCCACTGGGCTATTTTTAAAGCCATCACATAACATTTAATGATCTAACATTTAAGAAGCTCTTAAAAATTATTTAAATCTATGGTGCAGTATTAAGTCAATATGTATAAATTTTATAAATCCTAGAAAAATGTTGTGACCACGCCATAACAAATTTACAAAATAATACGCATCTCAACAGAGGAGAGCATATATTTCAGCTAGTGGCAGCCATTTCTTTCTAGTACTGCAGTGAATTTTACAGATCTTTGAAAACTGTAATTCAAATGGTCAACACTACCTTTCCATTTGAAGATGTTCAAAAATAAAAATAAAATTTTCGGGCTGGGGATTTAGCTCAGTGGTTCCACCACCTGCCTCACAAGCAGAAGGACCTGAGTTCAATCCCAGGTACCAATATAAATAAATAAATTAATTAATTAATTAATTTAAAAAATAAAATAAAATTTTCAAGCTAGTGAAAACACAATTTATATGAAAAAATATGTTTAAACAATGGTAGGAGCTGACTCGGGGCAGAAGCAAACCCAACACAGTTATCTCCTCGGCCCCAAACACAAGCCCCACCAAAACTCACTGTATGGCACGGATGCACTGCTAGCGATGGAGGATGCGTCGCTGCAGGTGGACGCCGGTGACGGAGGGGGGCCCATCTCTGTCTTCACAGGCTCCTGTTTGCTCTCAGGCCTAAGGTAAGAATTAAGATTCTCCTCATAACTGGGAAAATAACAGAAACTTTTTTTTTCAGAAACTTTTAAAGTAATATATTCATTCTTAAAAGGAACCAAATACTAGTAACTTTCATGAAATACCATGATCTGAAGGCTGAACAGAGTGAAAAGACACACACTGGACACTTTCTCCACGGGGCCTAGGACTGAACCCAGGGCCTTTGGCCCCATAGTGTGGACTTCCAACCAACACCTTAGGGAGGACAGGAAAACTCCTATGCAGAGGGGAGCAACTGGGGACAATGACTCAACATAGTCGATCCAAAACGAACAGCTGCATTTAATTCATCAACACTGCTTCAGCCCGAGCCTCTCAAGCAAGCGGGTTCCATGCCATGCCACTGCTAAACACTGACAGAAACAATTAGCCATTCAACTGAAAATGGTAAGGGCCAATAAGTAAAATGCCCACTCCATCATGAACCTCTAAGTTTGAAGGAGAACCTCTACTCTGGGTAGTTTGCAAAAATCCATTCTTAAGCCATCTGGTGAGTGTTAATGAGTTATTCCTCTTCAATGCACTAGCTCATTAATGCTTGACGTAGCTTCAGCAGCAATACACCATTCTACAGATTAAAACTTCAGTGCTTATTATTAAAAGGCAGGAACCACTTTTTAATCACAAGTTACTTGCTATTCACAACTCTGGGTAGACATTGGGTGATCCTCTTAACTCTCCTGCCTAACACCCTCACCAGAATTTCCCCAAAGAGCAGGCCAGGCTCATTCTCACAGCAGTACAGTGAAAATGCTCTGCACAGCACCTGGTGGGCGCTGCCGGCTGCTCCACAAACCCTGCAACAATGGGAGACCCCACCACAACTGATCTCTAGCATCTCAAAGGCAGGCCTTTTAAGAACTGGCATAAAAATGCATTTAATATTTCATTTCATTTAACTTCTGTACATGTATACTAGTAGAACAGGCTAAATTCAAAAGAGATTGTGAAAGTTTGGTTATAGGGTTTAAATAGCATATGCTAATCATTTTGTTTATAATTATGTTTATTATTATTTGGGGGGCGTACTGGGGATTGAACTCGGGACCTTGGCAGGCGGTGGAACTGAGCTAAATCCCCAGCCTATTTTGTTTATTATATTTGCACACATCAAAAACATTTCAAATAGCCAGGTGTGATGTCACACACTTGAAATTCCAGAGACTACAGAAGCAGGTAAATTGCAAACTCCAAAGTCGACACTGGGCTCGGAAATTCTGACAGACAATGTTAGAAAATAAAATAAAAAGGGCTAGGTCCTGAGTTTGATCCCTGGTACCAAAAAAAAAAAAGATCTTCATATGTACCTCCAAACAATAGACCAGGCTCAGAGTGTGGAACAATATCAAATTTAGTGGTGTTTCTGTTCACATCCCTCTCCAACCCCCGAAAAGTTTACAAAGCCACTGTAGACTCTCTCTCTACATGATAAACCATGCCTGTCTGTAATCCCAGCACTCTGTGAGGCTGAGAGTGGAAGATCACAAGTTTGAGCCCAGACTAGGCAACATATGCAACAAAATTAAACATAGTTTAATTTTAAAATTAAAACAGAAAAGGGGGCTGGGGAAGGCTGGGGATGTAGCTCAGTGTCAGGGACCTAAGTTCAATCGCCAGTATCACAAAAATTAATTAATTAATTTTAAAACTTTTTTTTCCAACACATGAACCTGTTAGACCTTTCCTATGATCAAGATGTCAGGGGGCCAGGGATTTAGATCAGTGGTTCGGACACAAACACAAGGATCTGAGTTCAACCCCCGGTACCAAAAAAAAAAAGATGTCAGCAACACGTTTGATAGAAATTATGTTATAAAAGGAGAGAGGAGGGGGCTGGGGATTCAGCTCAGTGGTTCCGCCACCTGCCTCACAAGTGCAAGGTCCTGAGTTCCATCCCCGGTACCAAAAATAAAAATTTTTTAAAAAGGAGAGAGGAGGATAATGTCAGGGTGACACTAGGGCTGGACACATTAATACTGCAGTCCACACATGCAAAGAACATAATACAATGACCAAAAAAAAGAACACTGGAAATGAGAACGCTACAATGCCATCCTGGCCACCATCATGAGCAAACACATGCTGCCTGGTGTGGTGACACACACTGTCAAGCCAGGTGCTTGGGAGAAGGCAGGAGGATCTCAAATTCAAGGCCACCCTGGGCAACTCAGATGAGACCTTGTGTCAAAAGAAAAATTTAAAAAAGAGTAAAAGAAAAAGAAAAAGGAATGGGGACTGGTAGTATAGCTCAGTGGTAGAGCACTTGCCTAGCATGTACAAGGTCCTGGGTTCAACACCCAGTACAACCAAAACAAAAAAACAAAAAACAAAAACCACAAGTACAGCCACCACCCTAAACTCTGCAAATATTAACCAAGCCATAAAGAGCAAGGCACAGCACTTCTTGCTTTCTGTTTTTGCAGGTACCCATGTCACCCACTTTGTATGTATCCATGTGTGCTGGCCCCACACACACAGTGAGCACAGGGCAGCACTCACTTGGCTTCAGCAGCTTTCCCAGGCTTTTCCATGCTTTTCAGGCTCTCAGGAGACCTGAGTTGGAATCGACAGCTGTCATTCATATTCCACACTGACTCCATTAAGACACCCACTTTTGGGATGCCAGCACTGATCGAAAATGCCACTGCACCAGCATGATAAAGAGGGTTATTTCTTAAGCATACCTAGCAAACAAAAGAAATCACCATCAAGATGTCTAATCTGAAAACAAAGTAGAACAATTATTTTAAAGGTATGAGGTTTGCTAATAGAAGCTTACACAATCAATAACACTGGCAATGTATCAACTTAAAGGTCTCCATCAAGAAAATGTTCCTAAAACTCAAGTGCAAATTCAACTAGAGAGTAATTTCAGTATGTTTGCTAAGTATTTAGCATTGATTTTTAAACTTCACGCAGAAACTAACTATCCTGCCAAAAAGACTAAATGGAAATAGCAGAAAACAAACTAAAAAGGTTTTGTTAAAAAAGCAAAATGTGTGTGGGGGGATTAAACTTTTTTGTCTGTTTCCTTTAATGTGAAATTACTTTCTTCCTTCATTCATGATGTTACAAAGGCTTTGTAACTTCATCTCTATGGGTGTTTGTTTGGCCTAGAAGACTGATGTTTTCTAATAGCCAGAAGTTTCAGTGGATACTACAATTTTTCTTTTAAATTTAAAAATATTAGGCAGACATTAGTGTCAGGAGTCAATAACCTATATAATTCTTCCTCTCAGGGACTAACCGCAGGTTACACTCTGAAAGCCAATGGCCATAAAATATACCACCAACAGCTCCATCTGCGACATGGGCGGCGTCTCTGCAGATCTCTTAGGATGTCTACCATGGCCCGGTTTTAACGACATGCTGTTCAGTCGCCCATTAACTAATCCCATGCTCTACGTGACCAGTGACATATATGAAGACAATTGTTTTCGGTGGCTCTAATTAGAAGATTGTGGAACAACTGGCTGAGGGGAGGTCCTACCAAAGAACAGCTGTGTTCCACTGAAATGCTGTGGAATGAACAAACGGTTCCTAGCTTTGTGGGGAAGGCATGTCCTGCTCAGCTATGACTCAGAAGGAAATTTTACTCACAAAGTGTAAGATCAGACTGGTGAAGGGTTAAAGACTAAAAGAGGCTCAGTAAGAAAGATTTTATTAAAAAAGAAACTTGACATGTTATACTTTGTATTTTTTTTATTTTATTGGCACATTTTAGATATACATAATAATATTCATCATAGGGAATTTATACCTGTACATGATATATCTTGCTTCTTTTTCTCCTATTCCCCTCCCCTCCCTTTGACCCTTGGCATGTTATAACAGATGTATTTATGGATACTGACTGACTGGTTGATTGTGTGCTAAGGAATGAACTCAGGGCCTTCACATTGAGCTACATCCCCAGCCTCTTCTGGGTTTGTTTTTTTGGAGACAGCATCTCAGTGTAGTTCAGGCTGGCTTTGAACTTCCTATGTAGCCCACCCTGGCCTCAAACTCATGGCAATCCCCTGCCTCAGCCTCCCAAGTGCTGGGATTACAGGGGTTCACCACCATGCCCTGCTAAAACTATGCGCTTTTTAAGACACAAGGAGTACAGAGACTATTATCTTTTGGTGGTTTAAAAAAAAAACCACCACTTGTCTGAGTTTTAAGGATTATAAAAGTTCCTAAACATTCATTACAGTACTTTCTATAATGAATGTAAATGTTAGGTTTTTATTCTGAAGATAAACCTTCATCAGACTATAAAAATTAAAATTAAGTTCTCAAATTCTTCTGCTCTCAGGACCTTTTTCACTATTAAATATTAGTGAGTTTTACAAAATTTTTTATGTGAAAAATGTCTAGTTTAAGTAATCAGTAAATTAAATGTACCAGTAATTAAAATTGAGACTTTAAAAAATATCAACAGTAATGAAACCCCATAGTAACATAAATAATTTTAATGAAAAATAGCTACATTTTGAAAAATATTAGGTAGAAAAGTGGCATTATTTCCATTTGTGTAAATCTCCTGATATCAGATTTAAACCAGCCAATTTCTGGTTTTCCTGTCTGTGTCCACCCACCTGCTGTGCCAGTTACTCGGCATGAGTCTAGCAGACCAGATGACCAGCTCCGTGCTTTCCCTGAGAGGCAGGGACACAGCAGGGGACGGAGCCACTTTTTGAGAACCCCCAGGATGAGAAAATCACCTTCCAGGCCACACGTATGGAAACGAAACTGTGTGAGGAAGTCTCCTCCACCCATGGACAGTGTCCCCACGGAGGGGCACGACAGTTGCACAGCCGGCTGTCTGGCTCAGTAACGCTGGCCCCACCGCTAGGATGAACTGAACCATTTTCAGTAGGGGTTGCTCCACGCTTTATGGTTTACAAGTACCAAGTGAGTTTTAAAATCAGGTAAATACTGGAAGCCGCCTACAGGGCACTCTATGAACACTGAAACACAGTGTACAAACATCACTGAGAGCATCAGGAGCGATGTGACACTCAAGCACAGGGTGCTGAGACCTGGCCCTCAGGTGTCACACACCCAAGAAGCAGCCAATAGGAGCCTCTTGCAGGGAGGGAGGGGCTCTGAAAGAAACCAAGGCCCTAGGACAGTGTAACTCTACCACTCACCTGGGTACCAACGGTGATGTTCGGCATGGAGGAAATACCAGCACTGGATTTGGGCTTTTTATTCTTTGCTCTAGCTTTCTCTAACATTTTTTTTCTTTGACTAAAAGGGACTACACCCCTGAAAAAGAAAACCATAAATTGGCCAATTAAGAAAGAAAAACACCATTAAATAAATTTGAAATTATACATACTGTAAGTTAAGCATCTGATGTAGTCCTTCTCTGATACTTTTGCTCAGAATACTATTAACATGTCCAAAACCTCTTAATTGCAATTTGTTTATACATTTAATAAATAACTAGATCTGGTTTTATTAAACCTTTAGGATTAGGTTTTGTAGAAATTGTATCATTGATACTATTCTTCCAGATAATTACATATCATTGGGTACTCCTCTCTATGTATTTTTTCCAATATAAATTTACTGCATTTTCCTTAAAATACCACAAAAAATAAACTGAGACACCTTCACTAAAGCTGTAATTAAATAAGAAAGAAAATGCTTGTACAATTAAATAAAAACCCAAAAAAGCACCATAGAGGCTAGAAACGTTAGCTCAATGGAAGAGCACTTGCCTAGCATATGTGAGGCCCTGTGTTCAAGTCCCAATACTGCCCCTGCCCCTTGAAAAGACACCCTCGATGCTATACTATCATTTCTAATTATGTAAAGCAAGATACATATTTATTTGTTTATAGGGAGGTAAAAAAGACAACAATTGGGCCGGGGATTTAGCTCAGTGGTTTTGCCACCTGATGCACAAGCCCAAGGACCGGAGTTCGATACCCGGTAAGGGAGAAAAAAAAAAAAAAAAGACTACAATTACCTCCAAATGTTAGCAGTAGCTATCTTTGGGTTGCAGGTGATTTCATACTTTCATAAAATTCAGTATTAAAATTACTTTTATAAATTTACTTTTTAAGTGTTTTGGGTAAGCATGGCCTGGCTCTGAGGTAACCCCCCCACACACACACACAGCATTACCCCACTGCCCTTTGCCTCCCTCCTGCTGCAGACTCACCACCAGTACAAACTGTTCTCCAGCTGGGCACAGGTATAAAGGGCGCAGCAATGCAAAGAAATTATTCGCTCTCCTTGGAGTTCAGAGTAAGTCTGTGCAGTGTGCTCTAATTTAGAAGCCACAGAACTTAAAGTTTCATCCACCCACGTAGCAACCTAAAGAATAAAATATTAGTGGTTTAAACAAAAACAAGCAGTTTTTCCAAAAGGTCTGCAGTCCAAATTAGGGCCAGGGTCAGGCCTGGTGGGACACACCTGTAACTTCAACTACTTGGGAGGCTATGGCACGAAGATCACACGTTCAAGGCCATGCAGGGTAACGCAGTGATACCCTGTTTCCAATCAAGAGGGCTGGGAATAGAGCTCAATGGAGATCTGCCCTGGGTTCAATCCCCAGTACTCAAAACAAAAGCAAACAATAAAACCTAGGCTAAGTTGCATACTGGAATTCTAAAATGTCTTCAGCTAAATGCTATAAAATAAGTATTTCAGAAAAGATTCTGAGTAAGATTAAAACTTTCTTTGCATGTTAATCAACATAGCAGCTATTGAAATCAGTGTCTAAGGCCACCTTTAAGGCACTGATCTTTTAAACATTTGTTCCAAAATGTTCAACAGAATTTAGGGACTTTAAACCCAAACTGACCACTTGAGGTATAGCATCCATACTGTTGCAATCTATCTTTTCTTACTATCTCCTCCTTTCCCCTTTCAATTCTGTGAATATTTTCCTTTTCCCTTACAGTAGAACTCTACTTTTAAAGCTAGATTATTAGTATAGTGATAAACTAGCCAACATAAAAATGAGACGTTGGATTATTCTAAGGCTGGAGACACCGCATTTATGGACCTAATTAGAAGGATAGGAAATGAAAAGATGAAAAGGGGCAGGAAGAGAAAGAAAACCAAGAATTTAAGCATGAAATGTTTACAATGCAAAGTGACTCCTACCTTGTTATTTTCTGTAGCTACAGTTGCTCTTATGCTATTTGCAGACAGGAGGACTATCTTTTCATTGGTTAACCCCAAAAATGTTGCTCTTGGATGATGTAATGAAGGATTCTTTGAAAGCATAAGAAAAATGATTACTATTTGTATGCGATATGTAGCGCTGTTCAATGCAAAGCTCCATACACTACAATACCTGGGCGTTTCTGTAGGGCTCCGATTCACTCCACTTCCACTGGTAAAGCTCCCCTTTGCTGCTCACAGCCAGCAGCTCAGAATACAGGGCCCCAATGCAGATGAATTTTGTTCCGTCCTGGAAGTAAAAATAACACAATGCTAGAAACACAGAGCTTACGCAGACCACGAGTTTGGACACCGCCATCTGATGGCTGCATCGAAGCTAGTGTAACTGTGGATACATCAGCCACAGGCCCCGCAGGCTCCGTCCCCAAGGTATCTCCCCAGGGGCTCTCACTGGCCTTCTCCCTCCATGGACCTCGCCCTATGGCACTGTCCTTGTGGGGCTAACTGCGTGTGTGACTTTTCCTCAGCTCACCAATTCCCTCCCCCAAGGAGTCTGTGCAAAAGGGACCGTCCCTCCACCCTGTCTATCTACAAAAGCACCCCTTGCAGTCCAGCCTGCCCCCACTGGCCTGCAGATCCCAGCACTTCACAAGGTAGTGCATCTACTCCTTTCTCACATGTGCACACAGACACCATCTCCATCACAACAGCTCCCTCGGCTCACCAGGAGGGTGCTCAACATGTGTGCCGGACAGGTGAGGGGTGGAAAGACTAGGAGTTGAGGCAGGGAAGCCACAGTCAGGAGGGAAGACTCCTTCCCCACATTATATTTACTTCCAAGCTGCTGAAACAGATGTCCACATCTTAGGGTAAAAGTTCACTAACTTTTATAGTAAAATACATACGATAGTTAGGATACAATACAATCATAAAATCTTGGGCAAGAAATGTAAGTATCTGGGCCGGGGATTTAGCTCAGCAGCACCACACCTGCATCAAAAGAGCAAGGTCCTGAGTTCTATCCCTAGTACCAAATAAAAGTATTTATTACAAATGATAATATTTTAAAATCTAAGCCCAATGATCAGAGCCATGAAGTGCCTTAAAGATCTCACAGCAAAACTTGCCAGTAACAGATTTGAGGTTGTATATTTTCCTTTGTTCTGTGCACTGTTTCTCTCCCCTTTGGAATGCTGTATGCTAAAATAATGGTGTTTTTCTGCTCTTCCGTGCAATTCCACCAATTTTATTTGGTCAGATAGATTACAGTGTTCAGCTAAAGTCTTTGCAAAGCCTACCAAGATCTGTAATACAATAACAACAGGCTATGCCTCAGACCTGTCCAGAATACTCATTTTAATGCTCATTTAACCAATACTATTCAGCCTTGTTTTCACGTCACTGGGCAGGGGGAGAGGGGTGTCGCATCAAATCTCACCCTTTCTACTTCACTCTCTCTTCTCAGTCCCTTGGTTCAAATTAAAGACAATGGATCAGACCAAATTGAGTCCAAACCCTGGGTGCCACACGTATGGGTAAGTTCAGTGAGTTACATAATTCCTCTGCACCCAGTGGTCCAGTCTGGGAGCGGAAGCATAACACACACAAGAGAAGGTAACTGATATATAAAAAGTGCACAGCACAAAGTCCAGTGCCAAGCAAGCCTCGGTCAACCACGGCAGACTTTTAATATCCTGCAGCTCTCAAACATGGTCCCCGCCCTAGGCCAACTCCAGGGCAGCACCGCTCCCTTGCTCCTTGCCCGCCCACCTCGGAAAGCAGTGCCTCCTCCCTTATTTGAAGCCAGCCCCCACACACTGGGGCATCCAAGCTGCAGCTTCCTCGGGTACCTGGGAGACATCCCCCATGGCAGCCCTTCCTGCCAGCGAGCCACACTTCTGGTGCTTCACAACCCATCTTCGCCCACCCGACCTGGTCACGATCACCACTCTCCCTGTCTTCCTCCTTTCTTCATGATCATTTTCTCCATCTCCCTCCCAACACCCAACCTCCCTACTGCAGATTCAGGTCCTTTATTCAAATCCTGCTCTGCCCTCAACCTCGGAGACTGAGTCCTCTACAGCACCATGCTGTTAAGTGTGCCAATCTCCTGTCTCCCACGGAGCTGCCAGAGCCTCAGAAAGCACCGCACCCTCTCTAAAGCAAACTCACCGCCTCCCACAAGCTGCGCTGTACCTTCTTCAGTCGCCAACTCCACCCATGACACCACCACCCACCCTGTGACAGGGAGCGCCCAACCCCTCCTTCCCTCTCACCCACCCACTAGCTAGGTCTCCCTTCCGATGCTTCCCTTCCTATCGCCACTGCCCTTGCCCGGCTGAGATCCACACAATTCCCTTCTCCAACAGCCCTGCCACACTCCCAGCTACTCAAAGTTTCCCGATACCAGTCTTTCTTCCACGATGCTAACAGGGTTCACTTCCTTAGAAACAGACCAAACAGAGCAAAACCGAACTAAGCTCTGCACGTCGCTTCTCCAGGGACTCTGTTGCCTTCTCCTTACTTCGGAGCAAAGCCGGACCCTTTGGTGAGCTGTCTAGGGCCCCTCTCCATCTGGCTCCACTGTCCTCTGTGCTCCTCGCCACGCAAGGCGACTCAGCACATTCATTCTCCTGACACACCCTGACTCTAGCCCCTCCATGCCTCTGCTGTATGGTCACCTCCATGGAGTCCAGGGGGCTCGCTATGAAGCCTCTGCCAACTCTGCCAGGTGGGATCGATTGGTCTTTCCCACCGTGACCTTTACACGATGCTAGACAAAACTTCAGCTTAGCACTGGTGACTCAGGGACACACTGCCTCCGGCGAATGCTGCGCTCCCCAAGGAGTCCCATCGGCACTCTGCGAGAAAACAGAAGTGCACTACGCAACCCCCAGCAAACAGCTGGATCTCAGCTCCAGGGCAGGAGCAGGGCACGGCCCCTCCCCAGCTGACCGCCAGTGCCTCGCAGGGAGGGCAAGGCCCAAGGAAGCACCAGCTTGGCCCAGAGTGACAGGAACAGCTTGCCACAGCTTCCCATGCACCTACAGGCAAGGTATTCCTGCACACGTGGGGCCAGCAAGGCAACCAGAGACCCAGGAGGGCAGAGAGCAGGACCACAAGCCAGGCGCAGCAGCACAACCAACAAAGGCGCTGCTCCTTCCAGCTCAATGCTGCTCCACAGGCTTCAAGGTGGAGCCAGAGCCAGGGGCCTGATTCCGCTCAGGAATGCATGGGAATACAGCAACCCTTCCCTAAATGGCTGTACACTAGAGAGATGCAGATCTGCTAATTCACAGCAGCAACTTGCTGATCACTCTGGTTTCTTTATTACGACAATCATCAAGCTCTGCTAGGGTATTACATGTATAAATAAATGCTACCATTTTTATATAATGATTCTGTATCCTGTAAGTTTATTAAATTATTAGTTCTAACAAGTTTTTGTGGACTCTTTCAGATTTTCTACATACCATATCATGTCATCTGCAAATACAGATAATTTTACTTTCTCCTTTTGGATTACAAAAGAGGAAGATAGCTTGTTTTCTTCTTCTTTTGATTTCTTCTTTTTCTCTATACAATCTTGCTAGTGCTTCTAGTACTACTGTTGCACAAGTGGCCAAAGTGAGCCCCAGATCTTAGTGGAAAAGCTTCTGGTTGTCCCTTGTGGATTATGATGTCCCTATGGGTTTTTCATAAATGCTCCTTTAAGCTGATGGACATCTAAACTTCAGAAGAGTGTTTATCAAGCAAAACAAGCTGATCTTTGTCAAACCCTTCGTCTCCGAGCAGTGAGGATCACATGGCTATTGTCTTTCATTCTGTCCCATGATGCATCATGCTGACTGACTTGCACACGGGAACGGCCCATGCATGCCAGGGTCACGCCTGACCCACTCTTTTCCATGTGTTGCTATTTTACTGAAACTTTCTGCATCAAAGCTCATCACAGATACTGACCAGTCTGTTGGGCTTAGGTATCAAGATGATGCTTGAATGACGATGGTTTGGTCTAGATTCTTGTTGGAAGAGGTTGATATAAACACACAGTTACAATTCACATGTAAAATATTCAGCAATACAGAATACAATCTCTAACCTAAGGCAAACTGCAAATGTGACTACAGTAAGAATGGAGTCATGTTAGATAGCCACCTAATTGCAAGACTGCCTCTCCTCATCAAATAACGGAATTGTCAAAGCTTTTTCCAGGACTACAAAGTGGAAAGAGCAGTTACATAAGCCAGAAAAAGTTCAACTTTAGATGGCTGGATGAAGGGAGGGGAAACAGGGACAGAGAAGAGAGGCAGAACAAGAAGGAGGCCAGGGGAAGAAAGATGAAGGATGGATGCTGGAGGAGCTGCATAGTAAGAAAGCGGATGTTTTCAGGCATCATTCCTCAGAGCCCAGCAAGCGCAAGGCCACCCAGGCCTGGAACACAGACCTGGGCCTCCCTCTGCTTTCTGTCATGAAGCACTTGGCCAGGGTCACACAGCGAGCGGCAGAGCTGGGCTGTGAAATTCCAGGGCTGCTGGCTCCCAAGTTCTCGCTAGTCTGGTCCCTCTGCCAGCCTCCCCTGCCGCCCAGGGCCTCTGGCCCAACCCATCACCGTGCCTTCACAGGGGACACATGTTCTTCTTCCTGCAAACACTGACCTAACACCTAGCAGAAGACCTAGCCCTCGAAGTACATATTTAATCAAGTCTACTAAATTAGTACTGACTGATCTTTGCCTCTGTCTTCAAAAAATTTTAGTATCCCTACAATTATTTCCAATGAAGCCTTTATAAAATTTAACACAAAGAATAACTTTAGGAGGGGTGATCAAAATATACAGTAAATGCATGAATTTTTTAAAGTTACTGTAGCAAAAGACACACTGTCCCCTCAAAATACCTTCATGTTGAACATATCCTATTGTTCTTGCCACTTTCTGAAGCAGTTCTATAAATCCTCTTTCCTAAGTGTGATCAAAAACCCAGTAATGCCACTGCCAAGTACCATTCAAAAGAAAAGAAGGTTTGGAAAAGCATGACGCTGTGTCCTCATCCACCTTATTCAACATATCTGGCACCATGCCACTTCTGGCTTCTCCCCAAAATCAAAATGGCCACAAAAGGTAAACATTTTAAATTGACTCAGGGGACTGAGGCAACCATAATAGTGCAACTAGAGACACTCACAAAAGAGGACTCCAGAACTGCTTCAGAAAGTGACACAGGGCCAGGGATTTAGCTCAGTGATTTTGCCACCTGCTGCACAAGCACAAGGACCCGAGTTCGAACCCTGGTACCAAAAAAAAAAAAAGAAAGTGGTACAAACAATGGGATAAATGTGTTTGAAGTGAGGGGGAATATTTTGAGAGGTAATAATGTGTAACATTTCTTTTACTATAATCATATTTTTAAAATTTAAATATTCATCATACTTTGGATCCCACCTTTATGGATACCTCAAATTATTTTCTTCAAAAGATAAAACTGTAAAGGTTTAAACAAAAGAATATTCCCATCATTAAAGAAATTTAACTGGCCTACAAAATAGTACAATGTGAAAGTACTAGCTGTTCTTCTAAGTGGATGTTGGGAAAGCATTATTAAGCCAATTAATTTAAAAATAGAATGTTCCCTGAACCCTGTTATAGTTTGGGTCTAAGTGTCCCCTCAAAGCCTCATGTGGTCAGAGGTGGGGCTCTGTCAGAGGTGGCTGGATCTGGAGTGTGTGATGCTGGGATTCATGGTTGGTGATCAGTAAGTAGATCAGTTCACTGCTTGGCTTGGCCCCGCCCTAATCCCCATAGCCTGGATACAATACAAGGGACGAAAGAGACTTGTCTTCCCCTTGTTGTGTTGTTATCTCCTGTCGGCCACCATGCACTGTTGCCCCTCTGCCATGTGTCACCCTGCCTTGGAGCCAGCTGATTATAGACTGAAACCTCTGCATACTGTGAGCTAAATAACCTTCCCTCCTTTGCCTTTGGGTGTCAGGTATTTTGTCTCAGCAACAAGAGAAAAAGTAACTAACACACACCCTACTGAAATGAAGGATAGTGTAGCTACTAACCTCACTTAACATTTCAAAATGTTGCATTAAGCCATTTCTAAAATTAAGCTGGGGTGCATATTTTGACCCCAAAAGTGATTCTCCTTCCTCTTATTTAGGAGGAGACCGGGTACAGCAGGAAAACATGCACTAATGCAGTCTCCTGGCTCTACTGCTGAATCCAGCCTTGAGGAGCCATGTCCATGCAGACAAGGACACCGAGGTTCTCCATCCACCAGAACGAAGGCTCAGAGAAAAGCTGCCAGACCTTTGCCACTGTGCAACTTCGTGCAAAATGAAGACTATCTTTCAGTAACCTGATATGCTGAGGGGGAGAATTATACTGTTTTATGAAAATAGTGCAAAAGGTACCAAGATTGTTTTAAGAGCCCAACCAAGATTACAGAGAACCACATTTTAAGAATAAGTACTGATGGGTCATTCAAGTCAGTCACGTGTCATTTGTCTCCTGCTCCAGCCTCCAGGTCTCCGAGGGGAAATATGGAAGTCATCACCAAGGCTGCTTTGGTGGCCAACTAACCTATCCAGGATCCAGGCCCCAGGAGCAGCACGGAGGACAGAAAACAATTCCTGAGTGCTCTTCCTCGGCTCTGCTTTCCAAGTGTTACCTTAAACATGGAACTCGGCTGGCTGTGGTGGTACATGCCCATCCCAGCCCTCAGGAGGATCGCCCACAAGTTCAAGGCCGGCCTGAGCTACACAGTGAGACCCTATCTCAAAACAACACAACAACAACCAAGGCCCCGGGCACTCATCCCATCCTGCCCGGGAATCGTGACCCTCAAGCACTCCTGCAGACGTGGCCGTGGTGGTGTCACACCAGGAGGTGCCAACCGCATCCTGGTGCCCTGTTTCCTGGCCCTCACCCCTGCTCCTACCTGTCAGCCTCCCTTACCCCAAAGTTGCACCCTATAGTGGTCACCACCTGGCTGATGGCAAGGAACCAAGACGGTCCCACATGTTGCCAGGGTCTTGGTGTTCCCTCTCGGGGCCTGCTTAGCAGTTTTCCTGCTGACCTAAAGCTGCCCAAAGGCAGGCCAGGCCTCCTCCCTGCACAGATCTTCCCACCCTCATTCTGAGGCTGCAGCGTCAAGCACTGTGCACTAGCATCTACAGGCCAGTACATAGAGGGTGTGTGGGGGACTGTGAGGGTGCTTAATAGTTTCATTAAGCCGAAGCAATTTGCTTCCCCAGACTGGAAATTTATGGTGTCTAGATCACAATTTTTTTTCATTTTTGAGAGACAGAGTCTCTATACTGTATGTAGCGTAGGCTGGCCTTGAACTCTCAGTGATCCTCCTGGCTCAGCCTCCCAAGTGCTGGGATTATAGGCGTGTGCCACCATGCCCAGCAAGATTGCAATTTTGAGCTAATATATAAGTATTTTATTCCCCCCAATGTTATTTTAAATTATACATTTCACAGATAAATGGGCAAAGAGAAGACAATTAATTCACATACTGCCTGTCTTCCATTCATTCAGTATCTAAACACTCAATTCTATCCTAGGCTGAGACTTCATAAAGCAACAGAAGCTGTCTCTGCTAACAAGCTGGACCTGGACACATAGGTGAGGCCAACAATGGGTGGTTAAAACATGACAGAAGGCACACGGCTGGGGGAGAGCCTGCTACACGTGTTCTGTTCAGAAATACTTTCACTGGGCTGGGGATTGTGGCACAATGGCAGAACACCTGCCTAGCACGCTCAAGGACTTGAATTCAATCCCTAGCACACATAAAACCCACAACACAAAAATACTGTCATTAACAAAACTAATACACGATAAAAGAAAAAGCCTAACCTAGTAACAAGAGTCGGCACTAGTAAGGGATTCACGGGTCCGCTGTTACACCCTGCCAACGTGAGACAGACACAGTTCCAACACGATCCAGCAAGGAAAAGAGGAGACTGTGTGCGTGCGTGCACGCGCACACACACACACACACCCCCACACAATCACCCCCATCACATGAAGTAAAAGCATAAGCAGAACTTGGGATATTTCCAGTTTTATAGAAATAAGTAAGAGAATGCAGTTTGGGGAAAGTTTGGCAGCTGCCAAAGGAACCAGAAGAACCTTTTGCTTCCAAAGAGACTGATTAAAATTCATGTTCTCTCTTGCATTCAAGTTTTCCACATGACCTGAATGCAGAGGAAAATAAATCCACTGCACTAAGTCTTGCAATAACTATGGAAACAGAAATTCGGAAAGTTCAATAATACTTTCCTAAACTCAAGTTCAAATTTTGAGAGAGAAAAGAAGTCCATGCCAGACTCTCCTTATCTGCTGGTGATTAACCCTTGAGTCCCATCTTCTGGGCTATTTCTGCTTAAGAAAATTTTCTACCCAACTAGCTGGAAAGAAAAAGGAGCACAGTGAAAAACAAAACAAAACAAAATCAGGAAAAGCACACTTCCTACAGAAGCCTTAGAATCAGCAACTACTTAACCCATGATAGGCAGCGAGCAACTCCATGCCACCGTGCAGCAAGGGAATGGTAAAGACAGACTCAACCCAGCAGCTCCACATACTCTCTGGAGCGGTGGCCCTAGCCGTACCAGTCCTTAGGACTCAGGCAGAGCCGGCAGCCCAACCTGACCACCGCATTGTCTCCCTCGGCAGTATCGGCAAAGGGTCTGCCAGAGGTCATTTGTCACTCTGGGATGGCTAACTGATCTCAGCACCCTGAGCTGCCACAAACTTGCCCTGCAGGAACTTGGTCCCTGACACTGCAAACTTCGTCACGCCCACCTCTACCCCAGCAAGGGGAGTAATGACTCACAGAAAAGCCCCCAGGGCTGAACACCAAGAGTGTTGTGGGCAACCCCATTCTGTTTCTCTTCTGCTTTCCCACGTGGGAGGAAGCATGGCACACGGGACACAGCTTACCGACATGACTCACACAATGTCAAATGAAGAAAGTCTACTTATTATATTGTAAAATGAGACAGAAATATCATTTTGTTTGTGCTTTTTTGAGCAGCAGTACAAAAATCTGAATAAATTAAACAAAACCTTCCGGGGGGGGGGGGGGGGGAAGAAACTTGACAGAAATCCACTTAAATGGGAAGGGTGTGAGATTTTTTCCAAATACCTTATCAGGCCACCACTGCAGATCTTCACCTAGCGACACTGGGCTTTGGACGGGTGTGTTCTTCTTGTCCAAGCTGGGCTCTCCTTCTTTGCTGGTAGAGCCCCTTTCATTATCAAACGAGGCTCCATCAAGCCACCTTCTCTCACGTAAACGTAAAACGGACTCACGTTCACGCAACAGCTCAGAGTCTCTCTCTAAGGGAAGAAGGAGAACTGGTATGCAATTGGGTCACACCAGTGGGATAAAAGTAAGCCACTCTCTAGTAAAGACCCTTCAGGATGCAACTAACAGCAGTTCATCTACTCACAAAAGCTTAGTCAATGTGTATCTAATTGAGCTGATGTGCAACATTCAAAATATTAATCCTTTTCAAGTGAATGGATACAAATTATACACTAGTATTTTTTTAAAAACTATGCAAGGCAAACTTTTCCATTATTTCAACTACATATTTTTAAGAGCAGATTTGCTTTATTTGAATTTGATTTTTAATGGAGTTTTAAAATTATTTCACTAGAAATGCTCACTATAAGCTTTTTCATTTATAAATTAGAAAATGTGCATAATTAGGATTTTGACATGTTCTTAGATACATGTAAGCAAACCAAAAAAGTATTTGTTACAAAGTCTCCAGGTTTTTTTTTTAATCCAGACAGGGGGAAAATTACATAATTAAACTACAAATTCATTAGCATAAACTAATTATAAAGGTTTTAATAATCCAAGCCCTTGTTTAAAGTAACTTCATAGGCTATGTTTTTATGGGTAATCAAAATAAACTTTCCAAGATTTGGACAAAAAGGATTAGAGACAACATTATAGTTGAACCATACAAAACTGCCATATATGTAGGTGAAAAGTGGTCAAGTAACAGTTATTTCAGATGGTTCAAACTAAAAGTCAGACATATATATAATAAACTTAGGAAAAGAAGAAAGGAGTTACTTGTGTTAGATACTGAATATTTGAAAATGCAATACTTGATACATCTAAGAAAATAAAGTATGCATTTACTTAAACAATTCTGAAGCTACTACATAGTATGTTAGTGTATTAAAAGATCATCCATAGATTTGTTACTTTTTAAAGTCTGTTTTAAAGTATCTGATGTTTGTAGCAACATCTTAATATAACATAGCATCTTTTCCAGTTTATTAATGATCACTAAATACAGTTTAGTTTTGTGTATTGTTTCAATCAAGTGTTTTTAAATTCTAGAAAGTAAAAATACTAAATTATAATGCTACCTAAAGTTTATTCAAACATATACAGAGAAGCTAGTTTAATGTTTTCAAAATCTTTTTTTTTATATTCTACTAATGTACTATATTTTTTAAGGATTTCAAACTTTTAAAAGCATTTTAAGGTAATCATTTCTATATACTTAATATTGGCCAATTCCATCCTAAGCAATAAGTTTCTCATATTTCACTCTTCCTTCTAACTAAGATTTAAAAGAAACAAAATAATTATGTTATTTTAATCAAATAAACTTTGGTCTTGTTTTCTGAATGCTGCATGTCACTATAAAGTAGAATTCTGCTTTTAGTTCAGAATCCATATTCCTAGTTAAAAATACACCTAGTCAGTCATAACTCATGATATGTGTTATACAGTATATCAACAAGAGCATCTCTGAAATACCACTATGGCTCTTCAACATAAAAAATACTGGTTTCGATGGCCAAGCTACACAAAAAGACTAATAGGTAATGATTTCATCTACTGTGATTTTACAAGTTCAAATCCAGTGAATCTACCACTATCTTTTCATACAACCAACCCCTGATCAAAAAGAAATAAATGCAAAATTACCTCGAGAAGAGCCTAGCCTGGAAAGTGATGAACGACGAAAAGAAGGATAACCAAAATAGCTGATGTCCTCAGAGAACATGGCATCCGCATCAATAATGACACTTGGGTGGGCAGAATGAATGTCAGCATCAAGAAGGGACATGAGATCCTCTACAAACACAGACAGACAAATACAAATGGAGCAGCTACAGAGAGGGCACCCATAGACCCCTAAAAGAACTCTAAAAATTAAATTACATTTAACTCAGGGACTCAGTAACACAGTGACATGAGGGTAAAAAGCAACTACTCTCTAGGAAATAAAATTAATGTTATTAACATAGATCTGAAGGGACATGATAAATAATTGTGTATGTTCTTACTAAATTATTCTAAGAAAAAAGATCACTCTTAAGATAGAAGACATCAGAGTTAACAGTCAAAATTTAAATACAGGGCCAGGGATTTAGCTCAGTGGTGCCACCGCCTGCCTCGCAAGTGCAAGGCCCAGAGTTCGATCCCCAGTAGCCCCCCCCCAAAAAAATTAAATACAGTTTAGTTATATATTTCAAAAAATAAACTCCACTGTCACCTGTCAGTCAAGAATAAAACTGTGCACACACAGCTGTCTGTGCCCCCAGAACCAGTGTAAACCTCCGAGCCAAAAACCCTTCCCGTTGCCACTCAAAGGTACTTTACAATCAAGTCAACAGCTCTACTGTTAGAAATAGCTACCGCCTTTCAAAAGTCACAGGAACAGCCGGAGTTTACAATTCTATTCCTCAGTCGAATCAGCAAAGCAGAGAGGAGAAAACAACCGCAGTGACCCACTAACCTCCAGGCAAATATGACTCGCTGGCTGTGTCATCCCCGTCGTCTCCATCTTCGTCATCCCGGCTAAGTAAATTATTTACAGCAAGGTTTACGTCAAGATTTGTTCGCTGAAGCTCTCGAATAATGACACTTCTAGATTTGCCTTGTAGAACAACCTGGGCCTAAAATACAAATAAATAAATGAATAAATAAATGAGCGTTATGCTACTTTCGACAAAATTATCAAATACAGCTTTCTAGTCAAGTGCAGCAGTGCACATTTGTAAAACCAGTTACACAGGAAGCTGAGGCAAGAGTATCTCAACTTTGAGGGCTGCAGGTCCAACTTAGCAAGATCCTGTCTCCAATTTAAAAAAATTTTTCTTTCCAATTATAATTTTAAAAAGGGGTGGGGATATAGCTCAGCATTCCCTGGGTTCAATCCCCAGGACTAGAAGAAAAAGAGGCAGGGCAGGAAAAAAATCAGCTTTGTAGAATCAGGACAAAAAAACCTATGTTGCAATTCACACTGAGCCACTGGTGCCCAAAGGCTCAGCTCGGCCCTGCCTCACCGGAAACAGCCCCGGAGCCTTACCTGTGAGATCAGCTCCTCCGGAATGACGGAGGCCGGGATGACCGGCTGCGGCTGGCTGCCCAGAAGCCCTGAGCCCCGGTCACGTCCTGTCCGGATGACGCGAGTCTGTCGTCTTGAGTCCCGGGCGCCAGCTGACGACCTGCCAGAGGACCCTCCTCCACTTCCACCCACTCCGGAACTCCAGCGGCTTCTGGTGACCCGAGAGTTTAGACAATCAGCATTTCAACATCATTCTCAAAAGGTTACTCTGGGTCTCATTTTTATTCTTTTAAGATAAATTTAGTGTTACTTGGCATTATTTTATAGTAATGTTTTGACAAAAGAAAAAGGTAATAGAACTGAGCTTTAAAATAAGTTCCCAGCTGGGTGTGGGACTGTAATCCCAGCACTCAGGAGGCTGAGGCAGGAGAATCACCAGGAATCAAGGCCAGCCTGGGCTACATAGTGAGATCCTGTCTCAAAAAACTAAAACCAAACAAACAAACAAAAAAGCAGTCCAAGGGCCAGAGATTTAGCTCAGAGGTTCCACCGCCTGCCTTGAAAGTGCAAGGTCCTGAGTTCCATCCCCGGTATCAAACAAACAAAAACAAAACGAAAAAAGCAGTCCCAATTTTTTAATGCTTAAGTATAAATGCACTTTTTTTTTGGTACTGAGGATTGAACTTGGGTCCTTGTGCTTGCGCAGCAGGCAGCAAAACCACTGAGCTGAATCCCCGGCCCTAAATTCACTTTTTAAAAAGATAGTATCAAACATCTTTTTAAATGATTTTTTTTTTTTTGGTACCAGGGATCAAACTTGGGACCTTGCGCTTGTGAGGCAGGCGCTGGAACCACTGAGCTAAATCCCCGGCCCCTTTTAAAATGATTTTTTAAAGATACAAATACTTATTTGTTTCCACAACCTTAAATTTGAACACATCTCGTCTTTGCATGAAAAAATCCCACAGACTAAACTTTGAGCAAGTACCCTGTTACACGGAACGGGGGTAAAACTCACTTTAGGGCTCCAGGTAGTCCATATGAAATGGAACACAGCGTGAGGGTCCGTGTTTTGCTACTGTTCACGTTACTGACTGCCGTGACCAAGGGGAACCTACTATTTAAATATGCTCATTCATTTTTTTGAAGTATAGGGAAAACAACTTAAAAGGGGCCTAAGAAACACAGCCAGAGGGGTCTGGGGATTTAGCTCAGTGGTTCCGGTGCCTGCCTTGCAAGCACAAGGTCCTGACTTCAATCCCCGGTAATAAAAAAAAAAAAAAAAAAAAAGAAACAGCCAGCCTCATGTATTGCCCCAGATGAGGATGATGCTTCCCAGCACGTCACCTGGATAACCACACCAGATCCCGATGTCCGGAAGAGGAGCCAGGCCCTGGCTGAGGACCTCATGCCCCAGGCCCACAGCCCCACCCACAGCTTCCCCTCCACAGCCCCCCAACAGACTGAGTTTTAATGGAACTTTCCCAGCATTCCCCCCTTAGAAAGCTCAGAATAGAAAACATAGAAACAAAGTCTTTGTAAATAGAGAAGGATGGAAGGGGTGAAGGCAGCACAGGAAATGGGGAAAAAATAAGAACCAAGATACATCACGTACAGGTACAAGCACCCAGTGATAAATGTAAATGTATTGTATACCTAAAATGTACCAATAAAAGAATTTAAGCAAAAAAAAAAAAAAAACTCAGAATATATTAAACAATGATTCTCCAATCAGTATACATCAAACTCTATGGTTTCTCTTCACTTAACTGGTAACTGCCTAAACAAACAGAAACCTTTCCAAACAGTTTCATTAGTGGAAGGCGAAAGAGCCCCCCAGCAAAACCAGCATCATCAGCTCTTGATCGCAAAGTACCTGCAGCTACAGCCCCAAACTGCCCTATTTTGGAGAAAACTGTGAGTCTTCAGGGCTGCAGCATGAAAGTATTTGTTTCAGCTAAGCAGCAGATTTTCAGAAATGTTATTTAATAACCACTGTTAGGCCAGAAGAAAGCCAAAGGGGCTTCATTAAAAGTACCTTACATTTAAGAAACAAAATTAATACCGTGATTTCCTTTACAGTAGTATCGAAAAGAATACAATACTTAGGACTAAACCTAACCAAATCAAGACTCACACACCATAAAGTACGAAGCACCAATTCAAGAGATTAAGGAGATGGAAAAGATCCCCTACAAGTTCATGGATGGGAAGATGGGACACCGTTAATTAAGAAGTCTGTACTACCCAAAGCAATGTACACAGTCAATGTAATCCCTATCAAAATTTGAACAGCACTATTTTTTAAAAATAGAAAAACTCACCCCAAAATTCACATGGAATCTCAGGGGACCCCAAAAAAGCCTAAACTAGTCTGAAAAAGGAACCAAAATGGAGGATTTGCCCTTTGATTTCAAAGCATGTACCAAGGCCACCATAATCAAAGCAGCATGGTTCAGCGTAATGACAGACAGACCTGTAGAACAAGGGACCAAAGCAGTCTCGAGCAGGTAAGCGGTGACAAGGTACAGAGACCACACCATGGGGAAAGATGGGGCTTCCAACAAGGGTGCTGGGAGCTCTGGATAGACACATGTGAAAGACTGAAGCCAGATCCCTGCCTCACACCCAGGGAAAAACACGCTCCAAGGGACTGCAGCTCAGGGGCAGAACACTTTCCTGCACACACAGGGCCCTGGGGTCGATCCCCAGCTCTCCAAAATAGATAAGAAATACAGAACTCAAAATCAATCAAAGACTCCAACACAACACCTACAACTCTAAAACTCCTAGAAGGGACATGGGGACAGCTTCACGACGCTAAACTGGGCAGTGACTTCTAGGACGCAACACCTTCAAAGCACAGTCACAAGAACAGACGTAGACCAACAGGACTAACAAACCTTCAAAATGCTTCTCCAGGAAAGGACACAATCAACCAAGCAAAAAGCAACTGAGAGAATGGGGAAAAGTATTTGTAAATCATATACTTAGTAAAGGGTAATATCCAGAATATATGAGGAACTTCAACTCCACCAGGCACAATAGTACATGCTAATAATCCCAGCACTCTTGAAGGCTGAGGCAGAAAGACCACAAGTTCAAACACAGCGTGGGGTACTCAACAAGACCCTGTCTCAAAATTAAAAATAAAAAGGGGTTAGGATGTAGCTCAGTGCGAAGCCCCTGGATTCAGTCCCCTCTACAGCCAAAAGTAAGCAAATAAATAAAAATAGAACTACTACAAGATCCTGCAATCACACTTCCAGGCTGGGGAGTAGCGCAGGGCTGGAGCACTTCTCTAGCACACATAGGCCCTGGATCCAAGCCCAGTACCACAAATGGAAAGCAGTGTCAAAGTAGGATCTGCACAGCCATGTCCAGAGCAGTACCACTCACAGCGACCAAGTGGTGAAGCACCCTGAGGCCCAGAGGAGAGAGAAAGGGTCGCACTGTGAGTGTACAAGGGAATACTAGTCAGCCCTCAAAACAAAAAGGAAACCCTTCCACTTGCTACAGCATGGGGAAGTCAGGACATTATGCTAACTGAAATAAGTGACAAGAGATACTTATAAGACAGTCACAAAAGTCACAGAAAAGAACGGAGGCTGCCTCAAGACTGGGGAGGGGAGAGCGGAGCTGTTTAACAAGTTTCACATCTGCAAGATGAAAAAGATAGAAAAGCCCGTTTCACAACAATATCAATATACTTGACATAACTAAACTGTATAAATGGATAGGCAAGTGAATCTTATTTATGCTTTTCAACCACAATTTAAATAAAATTTTAACTCTGACTAAGCAACAGAAATTGCTAAGGATCAATAAACATATTCAAATCCACCATTATGTCAGAATCTGTACATCACAGTTTCCTATAAGTTACAAAAGCTAAGTCCAGTAGAACCACTCTTTTGGAATTACTACACATTCAAAAGCTATGTCTTTTTTTTTTTGTTTTTTGGTGGGGTTTTTTGTGGTACCAGGATCAAACTCAGGACCTTGTACTTATGAGGCAGCCGCGGGGCCACTGAGCTAAATCCCCAGCCCTAAAAGCTACATCTATTATTTCAACCTGAAAAGAGGGGAACCACAAAGACCCTAGCAAGATGTGATGAGGGTGACCCTGTGTCCTAGTGTGCTTGGACAGTGTCCAAGCCTCTTGACTGTTCCTACTTACAGCTGCCCCAGTCTGGATCACAAAGGACACGGCCAGTGGAGACAAAGCAGTGATGTGTCACTTCCACCAAGTAATGCACACCATGTCCCCCCAAGCAAACAATGCTAGAAACCTGGTCAGATGCAGTACATAGCCCAAGTCGACCTCTGCTGCTGGGAGACCATACACACACCACATACCACACACGGAAGGCCCTGGAGGCGCAGCCCGGCTCGAGGACTCTGCTGCTCTGAATCCATGAGGCCACCCCGGCTGCGACCGTGGCGTCTCTGCAGCACTCACAAGGGACTGAGGGTGCCTCGGACGGAAGAAGCATCACCTCGAATCTCTAGTTTGCTCAGCACAGCACAGCAGGTTCCCTGCACTCAGTGTCTCCGTCAGAACCAAACTGGACCCCAATCTCCACCTGGCACTTGCTCCTACACCTTCTCTATTGCTGGCCCACGAGCTACACATCAGGACGTCAGACCAAGCGAACAACAGTGCGACAGGGTTAGTGGAGACCACAAACGACAGGACTAGCACATAGCTCTTCTTTATAATATAATAAAGCGAGCTACGTAAGTTTTCATTTTAAGGGCCGGGGATTTAGCTCAGTGGCAGTGTGCCTGCCTCGAAAGCACAAGGTCCTGAGTTCGATCCCTGACACCAAAAAAAAAAAAATGAGTAAGTTTTAATTTCAACTAAAAAATATGAAGGAAACGTTTAAAAAGAAAACCTGTAGCACACAACCTGCCAATTAGCAAAAACACCAAAAGAAAAAACATTGAAAGAATGGCTATACATTCCTAAAAGTGATCAGTCAGAATCAATGATCACCTCTCAGGAAGCCATGCTGCTGGGAATAAAAATGGCACCACTGTGCTGAGAGCTTCAGAGCAGCTCTCGATTGGAGACCAAAAGCCAGAGCTCGGCAGGCCAGGTGGGACAGAGGCCAGGGACAGCCTCTACGACAGGAGCCTAAGTGGCACACCTGTGGAGCAGGGACTGGACTCAGCACCTCCCAGGTTCTCTAATCCATGTTATAAACTGCAGACTTCCTTCAAGTTTATTGCAATCAATACAAAAATAAGGGGGGAAAAAAAACCTGTACAAATCGAGGAAAAAGAAAACTATATTAAGACCCAAGATATGTTTAAGTATATAATTTCTTTATTTACAAATGACCCAATCACAGTTTCACCACCAACAATCACAAGTTGTACTTACACTTGACAGATGGCTGCAAACCCAAACAAAAGTGAGCAGGCAGCACGGCCCGAGGTAATGAGCATGCACAGCCATGATGGGAGCCGGGAGGAAGCGTACGAGTGGGCTGGGGCAGGGGCTCAGAACGCTCCTGACTCTCCCTGCACATCAGCCCCAACACTGCACCAGTCCGAGCTCGAGTCCTCCTACATCACTGTGTCTGCTGTACGCGTACTTCACTAAAAGTCCTAACTGCCACTGGTCTACTTCAGTTATCGTGTCACACCTTCTATCATAACCACTCACAATAACCCAAACTTTGTTCACTGAGAAGAGGATTTAAGTCTAGAAAACAAAGGAAGGTCCTGAGTTCAATCCCCAGTACCGAGGAAAATAAAAGTACAAAAAGAATCCAGGTACCACATGAGGGTAAGCACTGGCCTGGAATCTGTATGCAGTTTCTTTTTTTTTTTTCGGTACTGGGGATCTAACTCAGGACCTTGGGCTTGCGGGGCAGGCGGCAGAACCACTGAGCTAAATCCCCAGCCCTGTATGCAGTGTCTTTAGTTTGACAGTATATAAACTCTAGATAAAACTGTCCAAGAGTTGAGTGTCTACTTTAAAACTAGAAACAACTACCAGATTTGGATACTAGAAAAGAAATAAATCTTAAGTTGTTTTTTTTTTTTAAAGACAAGAATAAGATGCAAGAGATGTCCAAAGATGGAATCATTTAAAACTGTAAATGACCCACCTGGGACAAGAGACGCGGTAAACACAGTAAGCTATTTAGGGGTCTGGAGCCTAGGTGGGTGGAGAATGGCCAGTGTGTGTGATTTTTTTACCCTGCCCCTGTGAGCAAGCTGAGCCTCCCAGAGGTGACAGTCACAATGGACAAGCCCAGCCCCCACAACTTACCCCAGGGTATTGCCTGCCAGCCGGCCCAGAGTCTCAGACCCTGAGAGAAACCACGGGGAGTCACTTGTCCTGCCAGGCCTCGAGGTCCTCCCCGCCCCGGAGTTGCTGTTCAACTTTGACCTTGGAAAAAACAAGAGACAGGAGAATCACTGAGGGTCCCCACCTAAGAACACAGCTGGAATCCAGGCCTCTCGGCCTGGTGATAAAAGCACCAGGCTAACTAGAGTCTCTCTGAAGACCTAGAGACTGCAGGTGAAGGCACTTCTTAGATGTGTGCTTCACACCCAAGTGCAAGCCTAACAGCTGGGCATGGCGGCCCAGCGAGCTACTCTGTGAGCTGAGACAGGAGGACTACAACTTGAGTCCAGCCTTGACAATTCAGAGACTCCATGAGGCCCTACCTCAAAAAGTGAGAAGGGCTAGGGATGCTGCTCAGTGAGCAGGCCCCGGGTTCCATCCCTATACCTGGGAAAAGAAGGGAAATGCAAACTTAACAACTTGTAACAGCCTACCATTCTTTCCTAACTTTCCTGTTTTTTTGAGACAGTGTCTTGCTATATATATAGTTCAGGTTGGCCTTGAAGTTGCAGCGATCCTCCAGCCTCAGGCTCCCCAGTGTGCCACCAATGTGCCCAGCACATTTTGACTGTAACTGAATGCTAAGTTGCATACTGTTTATAGATTTCTTATATGGTTTTCTCTGCATACTTATCTAGAATTCTTTATATGTCTGAAAGAACAAAATGTTAAAGACCCATTTTGCTTTCAAATCGAATTAGCTGACTTGAAATTTAAAAGAAAATAATTATATATAAAATCAAACCCAGACATGGTAGCACACACCTATAATCCCAGCACACAGGAGGCTGAGGCAGGAGGATCATTTCAAGTTTAAGGCCAGCCTGAACTACATAATGAGTCCCTGTCTCAAAAAACTAAAAAATAGGGCTGGGGATTTAGCTCAGTGGTTCCAATGCCTACCTCGCAAGCACAAGGTCCCAAGTTTGATTCCCAGTATCAAAAAAAAACAGCACACACACACACACATACACACAAAAGACCAAAAAATAAAAAATAAAAATCATTTCAGTTGAAGAGCAGATCTGACTTGGGACCTACAAAATAATGTAATATTCTCCTGGAAACCTATTTCTGTTAAGTGAGAACTAACTCCTCTGCTACTTTTAATGTTAGTGTGTTAGCTGTAAACCACTGCTTGTTTAAAAATTAAAACCCAACTGCAAACTAACCGTTTCACTGCGTTTTAAGAATCTGATTTCCTGCTATGTTTTTTTTTTTTTTAATTTGAGGATTATCAGTGTCAAAGGGTGTTTAATACAACCGCTTCTCAAAGCTTGGTGCATCCTGTATTCAATACAAACAGCAGGCTGGGTGCGGCTCCAAGGCGGAGGCACAGGCACTCACTCCTCACTCACTCCTCCCACTGCAAACTCCATGTGCCGCTAGACACACACACACACACACACACACACACACACACACACACACACACACACACACACACACACACACACACAGAACATGATGCCTTCCTTACCCGTCGTTATTATCAGGTTTACCCAATTCCAATCTGTCTGGCTGTACTGAAAAACCAATCCTGCAAACTCTACCGTCCTATAAAGCAAAGAAATTCTCAAAGTGAAACCATGCATTAAAATGTGCATCTACTTGACAAGCAGACTCCCTGCAATCTCCATGTGAGTGCTGAAGAGGACTCTGAATGACCTTACTCCCTCCCACCGGTGACAGCGCCCAAGTGGACATCTGCCACACACTGTGGCAGGGAGCAGCGGAAAGAGAGTCCCTTGCCTGTCTCCATGGGGCAACGGCCAGAGTGGAAGCCCTGGCGCCGGGAGGCTCCCTCTACAGCCTTCTCGGGGCCAGAGGGTGACATGAGAAGGGGAATGAGTGAGTGGGCTTCCAAGCAACTCCGTGGAGCTGCTGCATTCCTGGGGTACGCAGCTACACTGCACACCTCAGAGGAAGTTCATTACCTCAAGAAGAAAGGCGGCGTGATTTGGTCCCACCACACACTGTTTAATAGTGGCCTGCTCCAATACACTCAAAGGGGGGTGACTGGGAACAAAAAGAAAAAAGTATGTAAGTAAAATTATTTTTCAGATAGTAAATATATTTTAGAGTTTTTTAAAGATCCCATTAACAAAAGAAAAAATAACAGGGAAAGCCTATTCTTAAAAACTGAGTATGTAGCTGGGTGCAGTGGCCCACTCCTGTAATCCCTGCACGTAAGAGGCTGAGGCAGGAAAACTGCTAAAAGGCCAGCCTGGGCTCCACACTGAGACTCACTCTCAAAAGCACTAGAAAGATAATAAATACGTTATCCACACTCACTACAGGTCCTGGGTATGCCAGACTGTTTAAAATCAGCACAGACATAAAATATAATTCAAATGAACCCAACTGATAGAGCTGATGGCTTAAGGTGCTCTTCATCTAATCACATCATGTTAATCTTAATGACACTAAGCTACCACCTAAACATGAGTTCCTTTTCCTAATAAAGAAAAATCCCTCCTTGAAGAAGATAAAATATCTTGGGCTGAGGATGTACCTCAGTGGCATAGCATGTATGAGGCCCAGCACCACAAAAGAAAAGGAAAATGTCTAAATTTAAAATATCTTAAAATTCTTACCTGTTTAAATTATATTTGTTCAGTTTCTCTGAAACTTCTCGTAACCTTAAAAAACAAACAAACAAACTAATAAACTATATGAAGAAATTCCTTTGTAAATAAAATACTCCTGACAAGATACTTGGTACCATTATTCGGGTGATTTCCAACAGTGGTACTCAGCAACTGTGAAGGTGAGAATGTTTTGTGTATTCTTCACTTCTGTTCCCGAAGGTCACAGGCATGCTCCACAACTGCGTCCCTCTCTACCCCATCAGTGACAATGACCCCAACCACAGTGACCCCGTTTACAGACAAGCAAACTGGGGCTTCTAACCTTTCTCTAACACAAGCTGGCAGGAAAGCTGGTATTCGCCCAAATGCCCGATGGAAAACTCATTTTTAAAAACTGCTGCCCAGGCCAAGACATACTTCAGTACACATGGGATATCGTGAAACTGAATCCTGCAGAACCCTGGCTGGGTGCGCATGCCTCTTATCCCAGCACCCGGGAGGCTGAGGCAAGAGGATTATGAGTTCGAAGCCAGCCTGGACTACATGACAGGATCCTGTCAGAGAGAAAGAAGGAGGAGAGGGGGCGGACAGATGGACAGACAGACTTTGGGAAGCACAGATCTGTTAAAAAGAATTTAAAATGAAGGGTATAAAAAACTCAAAGCCTCACTGACTAAAGGCATAGACTGCATTTCTTGAAGGAACTCAGGACATGAACCTGCACAAACAAGAACCTCAACATCCTTATCTATAAGGCAAGAAAAATATGAGCCTGCCCCATTTCTAAAAAACGTCTTGCCCACAACTAGAAAACTATCTGGGGCTGTAGGACGGAGAGAGAACCTGCACTGCCTACTCCAGTTCTGCGTCTCCCCCCAGGAAACAGTCTTGAATCAATGTGAAGCGTTTGAGCACTCAGCAAAATCAAACCAGACAGCCAGGGACGGAGCTCAGTGATGCTGCGCCTGCCTGGAAAGCACAAGGTCCTGAGTTCGATCCCAGGTAATAGAAAAAAAAAAATCAAACCAGACACTGTCAACCTCAGGAAGCAATTTACAATGGAAGATGCATCAGAAGTAGAGACTTCAGAGTTCAATTCTTCTATTATGTCTGGGTGTAAGACCACAACCCTGTAATCCCAGCACTCGAGAGCCTGAGGCAGGAGGATCCTGCAAGTTCAAGGCCAGCCTGAACTGCACAGTGGGACCTTGTTTCAAAAAAACAAAGGAGGGCTGAAGATTTAGCTCAGTGGTTCCACTCGCAAGCGCAAGGTCCTGAGTTCATCCCTGGTACCAAAAAAAACAAAACAAACAACAAAAAAATTTCTTCTATTATGACACCCAAACGACTGCCTGATCTTTTAAAACTATTTCAGGATTCTAGTAAGCTAAGAATTTTAGAAAACAATGAGGAAAAATCAGAACATCAAGTCAACTGGAAATTCCACTTTCCTTGGTTTTCCGTCCCAGTGAAGCACAGGAAATGTCCACGTTTCACATTAAGGAGCCCAAGTGCAACTTGAAGACGACCACACCAGCCAGCCAAGAGCAGGCAGAAATCGAGGCTGAGACTGGGCGGCCGGAAGCACCCACCTCAAGGCTGAGCCTCCGCTCCGGGCTGCCTCACCAGCTCCACTCCCCCTTCTCAGGACGGGTGCTGCTCACGCCAACTTCCTCCCCCAGAACCACTTCGGACTTCACAATCTCGGGGCTTCCAAAAAGCTTATTTATGTGAGTCACATCTATCTAGCACTAAAGTTAAATTCCAAAGAAATTCTTTAATAATATAAAAATAAGCTTGTTACACACTAGCCTAAATTATACTATGAAAAATATTTTCCCAAAACATACGACAGAGGGACTTCTCCAGACCCCTCTGCTACCAGCTCTGCTTTGCACTGAAGCAACACATAGGTTGCTCTGTCCGCGCATGAACCTGGCTAGAAGGCGGCTCGGACCCTCCCCATACCAAAACGACGATGTGAACGTACCCAAAGAGCTGGCCCCACACAGACAAGGTGCTGGAAAGGGAAGGAGAGTTTTATTTTATTTTTTGAGAGAAGGCCTCACACTATGTTCAGAAAGGCCTCAAAATCCTAAACTCAGGAGCCTCTCCTGCCTCAGCTTCCCCTGTAGCTGGGATTACGGGCATGCACCACCATGCCTGGCTGGAAGGAATAACGTTAAGACCCTTCCCAGATAACTGGGGGCTTTCTTCTCTGACTCTACCTTCATCATTATGAAGCACAGTTTCTCAAGGTCAGCAGGGACCTGAAACCCGCAGCCATCACTGAGCCTGGACGGCACCCAAGTCAGCAGAGACGTGGCAGAGACTCCGGGTTTCAGGCCCCATTTGCTAAAGGAATTCTGGCCTGCAGCGTCTGACTCTGTCATCAGCACATGTTTCAAACTTCCCAAGAAAACTCAAATTTTGCTTGAAAGAGCAAACACATCACTAGCAAGAAATGCCTTCAGTGGCTTTCAGAATAGAGGTCACACTTCACCTAGGAAACCACATGCAACGGGGGAGGGAAACAGGTAGGGGACTAGGCGCCAGGTACGTGGGCCTAATAACCTTAATAACCAAGGACACTACACGCCACAAACATGAGCTACGATAAACAACATCAACAAGAGCGAAAAGGGAAGGGAGCTAGAGGAGGGGGCAAGAGGAGGGAGGGGGTTAGAAAAAGCAGCAGCTACATTATACAGGTGCTGCTCCCCGAGAGGACTCTAAGTGCGTGTATTGCAAACGTGTACTACTAAACAATTAAACAAAAAGCCGGTCACACCCCCAGGTGTGGACATCCACAGTACCAGTCACCTTGCTAAGCCAAACGGTTCCTGAAAGGAAAGCAGCTCCTGCAACCACGGCTGTTGCCAGCGTGCTTTTCCCTCAGACAGCGAGTGCCATCCTCGTCCCTGGAGTGTGAGGACGCCAAAGGATCAGCGAGCACGGAGGAAGATGTAAGAAGGTTCTTCTTTCTCACTGGTCACCAGAGACACCTTCAGTGGAGCTCAGGCAAGAGTGAGACCATATCATCCCCACTGCGGCTGCTGCCGCTGCTTTCATTCCTAAAAAGCCAGCATTTTATCCACCACTGCTTCTGGACCAAGCGGGAATGTCAAAAACGGAGCAATCCCAGCACTCAGAGAGGCTGAGGAAGGAGGATGTTAAGTTCAAGCCCGGCCCAGGCAACTCACAGACTTAATGAGAAGACCCTGGCTCAAAAATATTTCAAGGGTTTTTAAGACTCCTGGCCAACATTTAAAATCAGAAGATTTCGCCGGGGATTTAGCTCGGTGGTTCTGCTGCCTGCCTCGAAAGAGCAAGGTCCCAAGTTCAATCCACAGTACCAAAAAATAAAATAAAATCAGAAGATTTCCCCAAGAATCTCCCATTCCTAGCTCCTCTTGAACACTGAGATCCAGCAAGGAAGTTTGTGCTCTCAGCCCTTGCTGCCTCTGATCAGGACAGAGCTAGTTTGGGAGGGCGGTCCCACCTTGATTCCGGCCTCGATGTGCATGCTTGGCCTCCACACACCAGGTGAATGCAGTCACTGCCCAGCCACGTCTCATTCCTTCTTCAGACGTGGCCTGACAACATCTAAACCAGCTGTCTAACTTTCCTCACTTATGGTCTAACCAGAGACAGCAGACATCTAACCTGAGTCACACAGCGCCTGCCTTCATGGAGGGAAAGGCCATTGGCAGCCTCCTGTGTCACTACTCACAGGAGGACTTCAACATACTGAGGTTGAGGGGGTTGTTTATTTGTTTGTTTGTTTTTGAGACAGGGCCTTACTATAGCTAGGGCTGGTCATCAACTCACCAGGCTAGCCTCAAACTCTCGGCAATCCTCCTGCCTCAGCCTCCTAAGTGCTGGGATCACAGGCGTTCATCACCACACCGTGCTTGGTGAGATTTTAAAAACCTAGTCTCATAATACTGGTTACGTAGCAGAACATGTAAATATTTTTTGAAAAATGACTACCAAAAGGGAAGAAGAAAGCTGCATCTCCACCATTTTGAGGCAAGACAGGCCTAGAACTAAGGCATATTGCTGTCCAGTCGTCATCCCCTGGGGGTGTAGTTAGTGGGCATTTCCTGGGTGTCGGGTGCTGGGAGTTTAGAAAGCAATAAAACATGGTTCCTGCCTTCATCGAGTTTGCTGGGCAGTGAAGGAGTCACACTTCATCAGACAAACACTGACAGTATAAGAAATTCGTGGTGGGCACGGGCACCAGGTACTGAGGGATTCGGGAAACACCTGGTTCAGCCTGAAGTTAGGGTGAGTGAACGTCTCCTCAAAGCCGGCCAGGCAGGAAGAGTGGCGCACAGTTGTGCTGCGGGCTCAGGGAATGGATGCATTTACAGGCAGTTTGTGCACAAGCTGTAATGGTGCAGGAACGGACAAGACAGGGAGGGATGCAGGCATCTGGGCTGCTTGCCGAGGGTAGATGTGACTAGAGATAGGAGGGACACGGAGAAGAAATCTCTCAGTATAAAACTCTTTCTGAGATAAAAATCCATGCGCAGAAACACAGAGTTACTGGGAAATGGGAAGAAAATATTCAGCACGCTCAGAGTCTAGACGGGACCCACGGATCTCAGTGTTCGGCCCCACGGCAGCAGGCCCTGCTAAGAAGCCACACTTGGCACGTTTTGGTAGACCTATAATGTGACAATCATTTTAGAAGTACAGGACCAGCAGGTTTCTTTGGTCACTGTGTGGCTCTCTTAGTAGGGATGCTGAATACTTCTTTCCCCCAGCATTAATTTAGTGTCGGTTACTAAAATGGTGCCGCACATTTTCAAGTAGAGGCTAACAGCATGGATCCCCCAATGAGAAGGGGAACAAGGGAGGGGGGAAGGGGAAGGAAGGAAGGGACAAGAGAAAAAAGAAAAAATGGAAACAAAGCTTTTGTAAATAAGGGGAGAAAGGGTTGTTAGGGAAAGAAAGAGGGGAATGGAAAAGAAGCAAAATATATCATGTGCAAGTACAAATTCCCTATGATGAATGTGATCATGTTTATCTAAAATGTACCAGTA